GACTGGGAGGCAGCCCCTAAGGGCACGTTAAGTGCCACTCAAGTCTAATATGGTCGGTGCCCAGAACATGAAAGGAAGCATCCTCGAAGTAGTAAGATAAAGGGCTTAATTCTTCATGATTACTCAGTTGCCAGGGGGAGAGTAGAAAGGTATTGAACATCAGCCGCGTTCTTCCATTCACCAGAAGAATAGCAAGGAAAGGAAGTGAGCATCAGTAAAAGATGTAATTTACCATTTAATTATACCTTAAATACGAATCTCTTCCTTCCTGCCCCAAGATCCCTCCTGACCTCCTTCTGCCCGCACTGCCCTGCCCTGCCCATGGTGAGCAATTGTCTGTTGCCGCCTCTCTGCTGTGAAACCAAATTAGATTATGCAGTCCCCGTCCTTCCGCCACCCAGGGCTCTTCTCAGAAGAAATTACTGAATAACCTTTGCGACAGGCAGAAGTGTAAGTGTGTTAACTCAAGCAGGTCATGAAATAGCTACAGCAATGAGGAGGAGCTGTGTGACCCACAGGGGGTGTGTATGATGGTGTCCTGCCCTTCTGAAGCATGACATCTCTGCGATGGAGACATGATGCAGTCTCTCTGCTGGGGCACTGAGAAAAGCTTGTCCTTCAGTCCGTGGTCGGTGCAATGTGATTTTTGCCAGAAACGTGATGTTTCTGGAGCCCATTTTTATACAGCAGCATAGGGCAAGGGTTAAACAAGTGGCTGCGGGCTGTGGCACCCACAAAGGGCAAAAGACCTATAGACTTGCTGGTGCAATTTTGAGGTTCACAAAAATCAGGCTTGAAATACCTGTGCCAAATTTTTACCAAACCAAAGCAGGGAGCCCGGCTTGAAAGCCAAGGGCCAGAAAGGCAGAAGTATGAAGTGTTCGGCTTCGTAGAAAAATGTCAGCAGACAGAAGTGAAACAGGAGTTTTGAAGTTAGTAAAGCTGCTGGCAGACTGCTCCTGGGGTTTCTGATGGACAGGGTTGCAGATGCTGCAGCCTTTCAGCACTTTTGAGGATGAGGAATGCATGGTGTCGGATGCTGTGCCCAGGTGGTGCATGCAGTGCCCACGCAGGACAGCTCATCCGTTTGGAGTGACTCGGTGATGTTTCTGAGCCTTCATTCGGAAACTGAGACATAGGAATGCTTCTATCTCAAGCTAGCAACAATGAGCCACCTTGATTTTCACTTCCCCAGAAGTGCCCTCTTTTTCTGTCTTCGATCATAGCCTCTTTGAAGTATGTCACAGGTTTTTTTGGTGACAGCTTTCACACTTTCCCCCCCCACCCCTGACATTCAGCCGAACTCTCATTTTTCGGTCAGCTGCCCTCATTCAGTACTTGGCAGCTGGGTTCATTTAAAATGTGACAGCAACAGCAAACGGAAAGCCCCAAGCAAGAAAACTGGTGTGAGACATTACCAGACCTCTGTGAGCAACAACATGAAAGCTAGAGGGAGGTTTGGATATGTTCCTATGCTCTGTGTGTGTCCTGCCTGTGCAGACACCTCCAGTGTGCTGCAGCAGCTGCACTCATGCTTTCAAGTGATCTGTTTTTGTAACACATCCATTCAGTGCTTGTGAAGGGTATCAAATTGGTTGTATCCAGCTCTGTCATCAGTTCATAGAATTAGAATTAATATAATATAGGAGATGCCAGTGCAAAATGTTTGTGCCTACCTGTGTCCTGCAGCTGCTGGGAGTGCAGGGTGGCCTGATGAGGACAGGATGCAGTCATGCATGGTGGGAGATACCTGCCTCAGCCAGCCTGCGGGGTGCACGTCCAGCCCTCCTCATCACTTGGAAAGCGTGAGGTTGATCTTGTCCAGACTTGGCTCCAAAGGAATCTGGGAAGTCTGAAAGACAGAGCACGTCCTATGCTAAGAGGGTGAAGTTGCACACATTTGAAAGCTTGGCAGATGTGATGAGATAGCTAGGTTTCTGCAGCAAGATGAAAGCAAGCCAGGCAAGGCCTGCTCTACCTGGACACTCATGATCTGTCTGTGCACGGGGTGGCGGCTGTCTGCCTTCCAGGCAGTGGTGAAAGAATCGGTATCTTGTTGGCAAGTGTTCCTTGTCTCCCAGAGGTTGCTGAGCCCACCAGAAATGTCTGCTACTGTAGATTGCTGCTGCCTCCTCCCTGCTTAATTCATCCCTTAGCTCTTCTCTGTATGGTGTGGGAGAGCTTGGTCAGATGGATTATGAATTTAGAGGACACTCCAATTAAATCAGCCCAAAAGCTCCAGGTTGAAAAAAGCATAATCCAGTTTTCTAGCTGGTGAGCCTGTGGAGGTTTCTTGGTCCTTGTGCCACATACTTCAGCCCCAGCCCATCTGAATCCCTGACTGCCCTGTACTGGGACACACAGTGCTCAAATGGCGAAGAACGGAGATTTTGGTCCTATGTCAAAGGGATAGTTTATCACACCTCTTTTTTTGCGAGTGAAACATGGTCTCCTGCCTCTTTGCCCTCGTTAACTAGCTGCTCCTGGGCAGTCATTAGGAGCAATGGTGGTCCCTCTCAATCCTGTTGGAGAGGCAGGTGCGGACCATCCCTGCATTCCCTGCCCAGCACCATCCTGCACTGGCACAACCCGACTGTATCCTCCACAGCCCCTCTGAGGCTCTCTCCCTCTCCAAACCTCAGTAGGCCTCTGATGGCTCACTGCTGTAGGGAGGCTTTGGTGTGAGGTTTCTGTGGTGAGGAAGTTTTGCCGTCTTTGACCAAGTGTTCATGGTACATATTTCTGGGCGAATGGCTGCTAGAGGAAGGGGCGTTACTCGGAGCGAGACTGCTTAGCGGAATCTGCTCAGAAATGCTTTGTTTGTAGGCAGCTTTGTGTCTCCTCCACCCATTTAATTAGCGGTTACTGGAGAAGTATTTTTTTCCTGCGCTTCTAAAATAGCAGTTTGGTTTGTGCAGAGCCTTCACCATCCACGCCCATGTTCGTGAGACGGGAGGTGTAGAACAAACACATTGGCAATCAGGTAATCTCTCAAATCACTGCTCTCTCAGCACACAAATCCCATACTGGGGAGGAAATCTTAAAGGTATGTTTAGGCTTATTGGGGAACAGTCCATCAAATTAAAGTCACAAAAGTGTATATGCATCACAAAGATGCAGGAGACCCATCAGCACACAGGGCTGGGGTGGGCAAAGTGCGAGCCTCACTGCACCGCGCTGAGCAGTGTGAAATCACCGCCAGGGCCATGCCGCACCTCGGGCTGAGCTGGGAGAAGATACCCATCTCTGCATGCATTCGTTGCTGCTATGTTGTTTTCAAAGAAAATGTAGGGGTAGAAAAGGGGAGAAACCAACCTCTTTAAAAGGTCTTTTTTGCAACCAGACCCTCTCCTCCTCCCCCTCCCCATTGTGCAGTGCGTGAAGGAGACCCTGCTTTCAGATTTTGGTCATGGTAAAGCAGATATCCCCATTTCTACATGAATCTCTGGCAAGTGTGATGAGAAGCCTACATCTGCGCGGGAAGCTGTTAGGGCACAGCCACCGCCCCGGGTGGATGGAGGGCCCTGCTCAATGGGCAGGGTCTCTCCTTGACTTGTTTCCTCCATTTGGCTTGTGCCTCGAGTAGGAGGAGATGCAAAGGCTGAGCTGGGCACGGAGGCTGTAAGGCTGCTTAGGTGGTGGCAAGGTTTGGCCCAGAATATGCAGGCAGATGGAAGCCCAGTCTGGGTTTGGGAGGTGTGAGTGGAGGTGTGTGCCTGATACGTCCCATCCAGAGGCATGTGGCCTGGGGCTAGTTAGCAGTTTTAACTGCTTAGCTGTTTGTGGGTAAGTGCATCGCAGGGTAGCACGCACTGCTCTGCCTTTGGAAGTCCCAGTCTCTGTTGCAGCTCATACACCCTGCCCCTCGCTTGGACAGAGGGGAGATGAGCTGTCCCTCTCTTGGACAGAGGGGAGATGAGCTGTCCCTCTTGGGGACAGACAACAGAGCAGGTCCTGTACCACCGATCTCCTACCTTTTCCATTTAACTCATTAAGAGACTGTGCTCTCTACCAGTAGCGTGACTTTATTTATGTTGGTTTCTTTGGAGCAGCTTGCTGCCATTTTCTTTAGACAGTCCTTTACATTATAAGGTTGAATAGATTCCTAACACAGAGTCCTTATTCCCACTGCCCCACCCCAGCTGTCTGGACAGTAGTAATGACATTTGACTCAAACACTTTTGATGTAAAGTTTTTGCCTGGTACAAGGAACTGCAATTTCTTCTGACCTTGTATTACAATTGATGGTCATTTTGTAGCTATTATGTAGTATGAATGGTGTTGTAAAGTTGTCTAAAGCAGGCTAAATCTGCCTCTGTTACTGTGATTGTGCATTATTACCAACTAAAATACAAGATGTTTGTGACTTATAAAAATATCCTCCTTTCTTTTTCTGCAGTGTTTTCACTTTGACTTTTTTTTTCTTTTTTGATACTTGGAATAACCTCCATTTCTTTGTCACAGCCACTGTTGCATAACAACTGATCCAAGGCAGGGGTGAGGGACAATAAAAACCCCTTTACCACTGGCTGTACTTTTTTTTGGGTTTTCTGGGAAAATTAAAGTAAGTTTTTGCAGGGGAATGCTGTCATTTTTCTCAAATTTGCATAAGGCAGAGAATTATCAGTAGCAAACAGCAAAGTGCTGTGGTTGTCTGAATGAGGGCTGATTTTCATGCGTCTGAATCCTTCCCATTAGCAGAAAGTCCCTCGATCCCACTCACACACAAAAACCCCTGTGAAAGCCTATTGAGTCCCAGCTGAACGTGAACGTAGCAAATATAAAATATGTGCCGCATGGTTTTTTGCACTCGTGTTATGCATGGGAGCTGAATTTCACTGAAGCACTGGCTTCAGATTTGGACTTCGCTAGCTTGGGAGATGCTTCCTTAAATTCCTTGTTGACAAAGTAGTAGCAAATAGCATCCAGGCAGCAGTTTGTGTTGGCAAGGACTGAGGCGAGGTGAACAAAATTATTAACCCTCTGTATTGCAGAGCAGTTGGAGCTGATGGAGTCCATTATAAAGCGAAGGAGATGCCCGAGGTAAAGAGGTAAAAAGCATATGATGAACACAGCCATGTTGGCAGACACGATATAGACAGCCTTCCTGATCAGCTTTTCCTCATGACACTTCTCATTCTTCTTTCTCGTGAGTTCTGCAATGACTCGTATGGAGCAATAACTCAAGATGGTCAATGGGATGAAAAACCCTACAATAATAGCACACAGTGTGATCACTGAGGGCTTAATGGAAGATTTTTCAAAGCAAAATTCATCTTCTCCTCGGTCCTCTAACTTTTTAATGAGGGACATCACACAGATGATGACTATCCAAAGAAGTCCAGAGGCAAAAGCTGCCTTCAGCGGCGACCTCAGCACCTTGGCTTTCAAAGGGTACTTGATTGCGAGGTACCTATCAGCTGCTACGACTGTGATGATACTGATGCTCATTAAGCGGTTTATGAAATAGCAGCCTTCCAGAACCAGGCACCATCCGCCTACCTTCAGCTGATGGAACTGGGAGAAAGTTTTAAAAGGCAAAGTAAAGAGCAGCAAACAGTCAGCCACAGCCAAGTTGACCATGTATACTCTGGTTTCTGTCCATTTGTCGAGTTTGCAGCAGAACACCCACAGCGCCAACATGTTCAGTAGAATGCCCAAAAGCAAAACTGGGATGTAAATGCACAGCTGGACAAGCGGAAAGTTTTCATAGGCTGTGATATTGCAGCTGCTGAGGTTCATTTTGGGGGTATTAAGAGGCACAGTTCCTGCAAAAGCAGATTAAACCTTTTAGAATCTAGACTCTTGGCTGAATCGGTGATTAATTCAGATATCTCAGGGCTGTATCGACAGTGAAAACCAGACCGTAGAGATGACTTTGCAGAGCAGAGCTGGCTGTTAGGTAGCTAGCAGGAAAAGGGGAGGGAGTGGGACATGAGCCTGGTCAGTCATGGAGGAGAGAAAAGCACAGGTTCTTGCTGGGTCCCATGCGGGTAAGACTGCTCATGGAGGGCAGCAGGGAAAAAAGAAGCTTGGGCTTCTTTTATGCCAGACTCAGATCAGGTAGTAGCACGTATCCTGCAGCTAGCAGTTATGTGAGCTGTTACAGCCATCTGATAATGGAAAGGGGATGCCTAAACCCAGCTTTCGTCCCTTCCCTTCCCTTCTCCCTGCTCAGGAGAAGCCAGCCAGCATCTTTATATCTCAATGAGATGTGCAGCAAAAGGACAGCTGTCCTCTCCTTCAGTCCTGAGCTGTCTCCATCACATTAGTGATAAGAATAATTATTAGTACAACTTTCATTAGTTTTAGCTGCCATTGAATCATATGCTCAGTGGCAGCCTTTAGTAGTCTGCAATAAGAATCAGAGTACTGGGGTCTGCATGCTGATTTTTAAGGATCATGAAAGTTGGTCTTCGTCTCAGAAGCATTAGAGCAATCTGCCACAATTCCAAGACAAAAAAACCCCACCAATTCCATGGCAAGAAATGTGATCAGCAGCCAAGTGAAACAGAGAGATGAGCTGTATCTGGTCTGGTGGGTGGTTTTATCACCCTGGATCTAAGGGCAATATTGCTGATTGCCCTCCTGCTTTGGAGAAGTTAATGCAGGAATATATTGCAGGTGCAACTGTTCATGGACAGAGAAGACCTGGGAGGTCTGAGATGTCTTTGGATTTTCCCTGCAAGAGGAACATGGCTCCATGGGTGCAGGTTCCCAGGGCTCAAAAGCATCCTGAGCGAGCAAACCGTAGGGCAGTGCTGCGACATCTACATGCTAGCAGCTCTAGGCTAGCTTTGAAAATCATGCTGCTGAGGAATAATGCCAGGAGACCTCTTTGGAGGTGAGGAAATGTGCTACAGATGATACCTGCAGCAGCTCTGTGCTTTGGACACAAGGAATGAGTTACAAGCCCAGAAGATATAAGGGTAGATCACAACAGACAACAGGAAGACCGAACAAAGGTTGAGACAGCCCTTAAGCATCCAAAACATGCCTAAGGTGGTCAGTATCCAAACGAGCCTTTGAAAATACACAGGCTCCAGCCCTCACTCAGTTTCTTTACCACCATTTTTGGTGTCCCACCATGGCTTGGGAAAGGCAGCGCCTTGCAGAGCTCAAAAAAAAAGGTCAGCAAATAGCCAGGAGGAATTACCTGCTCACTCGCTGTCCTCGGAGAGAGTGTATATTCCTCCAGAGCAACTGTGGTGCGGCATGCAGGCAAGATGAGCCTTCCTAGTGCTGCTCCTGACATGTGACCAGTGAGTTGTCCTGTGATGACCATTTGCTGGTGGCTGTGGCACCAGCAACACTGGTGGAGGAGGCACCCCCGCCGCTCCTCAATGCATTTCCCCGGGGGTTGAGCTTCCTCTGTCACCACTGGCATGGCTCGTACCACCCCCTGTTGACTGAGGAGCCTGCAAATAGCCCTGCAGCAAGGTGAAACGCTCATCTGCTGTGCGGCCCTGCAGCAGTTCCTCCAGCAATGGAGGAATGGCTTTGGGTTTTTCCTTTGATTTACTTTCCAGTGCCTGATGTCTCCTGGGCAATGCCCATTGACCCTCCTCGCCCAACAGGCTGTACACATTGCTCGGAGGGGACCCGTTGCCCTGGAGGGTCCTGAGGTCTTCTCTCTGCCTTCTAGACTGCAAGTCCTGCTGGGGCAGGAGCGAGGACTGCCGCCTGCTGTCACACTGCTGAGCCCCAGGACACAGCAGCCCTCGTGGGCCCCCAGTTCCATCCACAGAGCTGTTGGAGGCGTGAGGGCTGTGGTTTGCAGACAGTTTTGTGATTATTATAACCGAGTTTTGGTCTGAATCATGGTAATTCTCTCATCTTCCACAGTTCTCATCAGCCAGCAATTCTGAGAAAACTTGGCACCATGACCCTGTGACCTGCTGACTTTGTGACTGCTCTGTGGTTGCAGGTGTCTGCTGGCCAGGGTCTCCTCCTTGGCTGTCCATCGCAACCCATTTACAAGAAGAGCTCAGACAAGGTGATCAACCACCTCAAAGTTCCCGCTGTTAGTACTTTGAATTGCTGTCTTGGGCAAACACATTTCCCCTTTCCGCTTTCCAGGTTATCTTAGAGTATCTTCAGGAGTATTTCTGCATTGTCTCTCTGCGCATTACCAACCAGGCTTTGAAATTAATTCCTTGCCAGTGTATAGTCAGTATAAAGCTTAACTTAAAAACTTCTGAGTTTCGAGGGACTGCTTTTGCCTTTCTTGTGGCTGCTTCTTTGTGGATGCTTATAAGTAGTTACTGACCTATTAGTACACCCAGTTCATTGATCTCCAACCACCATCATTGTCATGTCATGGTCCTTGTTAGTACTTTAGTTTTCAAAGTCATCCAGCTCCTGGATTGTGATAGTTTCACCACTGTACAGAAAATACTTCACTTTGCATCATCCTCAAGTGTTGTCCACTCGCTCCTGTTGCCCATGTCAAGGTAGGCACTACCGGTATCAACCATGAGCAATCAAATTCAAGCCTGGAGGGAGCTCAGCTCATAGCATCTCTCCAGTGTGGTCCTTTCCATCTGCAGCTTGGTGCTCTGGTTGCCAGACAAGGGCAGCTGTGTCTCCCATCAGCCTGGTGAGTCTTCAAGGGAGGGACAAACCATGTCACCAGGCACAAAGCAGCTACCTGTGATCAGCAGGTCCAGAGAAACTCAACACCAGCTACCAGCGGGCAAAGCTATGATAAAGTGTTATCTGCGGAGAACTTACATGTCTCCTGGTGTGGCTCTCGGGGTCCCTGTCTGATTCCTGGACACCGCTGGGTCAGGATCCTCATGCTTTTCTTCTCTCCACCTCGGCTCCCCATCAGCCACCCTTCCAGCTGCTTATAGCCCCCTTCTTCCATCCAGTTGCAGGTTTTATCACCTCTGCCACGGACCAATAGTGCTCACTCGACATTTTCCCCTGCCTCTGCAGTTCTCAACCTGTCTCAGCCCCGCCAGTGCTGTCACCATGTGGCGCAATGCAGGTGACACTCATGCTGTTTCCGCATTTCCTTGCTGGCATCTCTCCAGCAGGGTAGTCCGGGGGCCTACAGCACCGCTGAGCACCAGTGCCTGTACAAAGTGCATTACCGCTCGCAATGTGCTCCAAAGGACCTTTTACTGACACCAGTGGCTACCGCATCTTGGCTTGAGAAGGGATTTTTTTTTTTTAGTGAAAGAAGCCATTGAGGCAAAATACTCCTATAAGGTGAAGCACCACTTAACTTAGGCCTTTCTATTTCTTCCCTCCCATTTCATGTTATTCAGACATGTTGTGAAACTGCACGCTTTTCACATCTGAGCATAGCAGAGCTGTTCCTGGCCAGACCCTTCCCTTTCTTCCCCCATCCTAGAGAAGGGACTGTGTTTGGTGGTCTCTGCTCCCTGATCCTATTTTGGCTGACTTATTTAAAAGCCTTGTGGCTGATGTGAGATTTCATGCGGCAATTCCTTTAAAATTCTGGACTTCTTGGATTCCTCACCCTTACTGTGACAAATTAATCAGATAGTTTTCAGGACATATCAGGACAATTTTGTTGCTTTTAGCAGCAGCAATATGGGGTGATCTCACTTCTTTGCTTGTAATTTGTAGGTAGCTTTTCATATCTAAGGGAAGAATTTGCTAAGACCTGTTTGATCTTTATACTTCTTGATCTCTACGGCTTATTTCTGTTCTGCACAATCATTTTTTCTTCCGTTGTAAGCTCTGCCTGATGTTCTGCTTGAGGTTTCCCAGCCAAAGAAAGCCCTTTACGAGGTTTTCCTGTGCTGCTGGTGCAGATTGCTAATAAGCAGGAGAGCTCAGGTTTGATGGGCTCCTGCCTCCTTTCCTTGCCAGGGAAGATCTCGGTCTCCTCTGCCTCCCAGAGACTGTGTCCTGCTGGCTACATCTGCTGGCACATCACAGTGGGACGAGGCCTCTGGCAAGGTGCGAGAGGTACCAGTACCCCCTCCACATGTGTGAGGGGGACACAGGACACCATGCTGCCCTGCAGCATTCGCGTTCTGCAGTGCCTCTGCCCTTTGTTTTTTTTTCCCCCTGGCTTTCTCACAGGAAAGCATGATGTTGCAACAGCAGATCTTGACCAAAACAGAACTACAGTGTTGGGAGCAGAATGTGTCAGTCTTATTTTTAGCGTGGAAAGCCTGTGAAATGGCAGTGTTAGGCTAACTGCATCAACCTCACACAATGACCTGGCAGTTGAGATTGTTCCCCTTTCCCCTTCCTTAGCACCACGCAGGAACAGAGCCATGGCAGATAGCGCACTCGCAGGGCTCTCTGTACTGTAGCCCTCTCTGTATTCCTGCAGCATCAATGCTGAGCAGGAGGATTGTTCTAGATTTAGAACAAGAGGAAATGGCTTCAAGTTGCACCAAGGGAAGTTTAGATTGAATATTAGGAAGAATTTCTTTACTGACAGGGTCATCAGGCATTGGAACGCATTACCCAGGGCAGTGGTGGAGTCCCCATCCCTGGAGGTATTTAAGGGTAGTGTTGATATAGTGCTCAGGGACGTGGTTTAGTGGTGGGCTTGTCAGTGTTAGGTTAATGATTGGACTAGGTGATCTCACAGGTCTTTTCCAATCTAGGAGATTCTGTGATTCTGAAGGGATCAGGTGCGTCCCTCTGCGAACATACCAGGGAGGGCATGGCAAAGCCTGTGCATCCCAGCTGCTTACTGCTGCTTCGGTGCTTGCAGAGTCCCCTGGAGACGGCCGGGCAATGCTCGCAATTGGAACAGCTGTGCTGCACTGAGAAACCAAAACCCCAGATACACCTCCAAAAACCTGAAAGCAGCACCCAACTTGCTAAAATGCAGAACTCCCCAATATGTGTCCTTCAGCCCCCCAGGAGAGGAGTGCTGCTGGAGCCCAAACTTCTGGTGAGAACTCAGGTTTGAGGCCTGCCCAAATGCCACCAAATGGCAAAGTACGGTTGTATGCCAGCCCCTGCCTTCCCTGATTAGAAGGGAAAAAAATGCTAAATCTGATGGCAACTCACTTAGAAGCAAGATTCTGGATTACTTTGTAGGCTTTTCCTTGTGGTTTTTTTTTTTTTTTGGTTGATTGGTTGGTTGGTTTTTCTCTGAAGCCTAAATTTTGACTGCAGCATCAATTTACTCATTTAAAGTTTAAACCATTGTTTGCATTTTTTTCTTTTAAGATGCAGAGAAATGTTAGCAGAATGCAGTGGTCCAGCCCTCTTGTTGGAGCTGTGGACTGTGGCTCCTGCTCCCCTCTATCATTAGCCAGACTCTTGTGCTAGAAAATGGGAAAGATTTGAGGATAACCATGTCGCTGTCCTCATGGATTGCTACTCCAGTGCTGTATGATGGCTGATAGTTTGTTGTGGCCCAGGTGCTGATAACTCATCTGCTTCATTTACTGGGAGCACTCAGGGAGCTGAGGCTTTCTTCAGACTGAAGAAAGGTGTCAGAAACCCATCATAAACATCATTATAACTTGATACATAAACCAGATAATAATTATTGTCCAAGGTAGTACATAGGCCTTCAGGTAATCAGAAAGTTTGTTGCTCATCTTTGCGTTGCACTATAAGTAGACTGTTGTAAGGCAGATCTTATATCGTGGTAGCTAAGTCTCCTCTCACAATCTTTAGTACAGGTTTAGCATTGATAACAGAAGACTCTGATGTATAATGGTAATAAATGAATATTTATTTATATATATATGACTGTGAGCTTTATTTGCACTTGCAAAAGAATGTTTCCTTTTGTGTTTTTGTTGCATTCAGTACAAAATGCAAAAACTATTACTTAGTGATGACAAGGATTGTGAAATAAACGTATTTCCACTTTACAATAAGAAAAAGGAACACTTCACTTTTTAAGTTAAGAACATGAATGGTGGGAGACCTCAGTTTGCTTCCTACAAGAAGAAAGCATTCACTTCATCCAGCTCTATATGCAGTAAGCTTGGCTACGTACAGGAACGCCAGCTATAAATTCATTAGCACAGCTGTTGTACTGGTTTGGGCACTGACAGGGAGTAAGCAAGCGGCTGTGTGGTGCTTAGCTGCTGGCTGGGGTGAAACCGTGGCAGCTGTTTAGTTTAATAGAGGGTAAGAGGAAAGGACTCTGAAATTCTTCGGTTACAGTTAGTATTTGCTATACTATGAGGCCCATACGTGAGGCCACATACACAACAGCGTTACTGCTTTGTATTTCAGAGTAGACGACGTAATTGGAGCCCATCGTAAATTGGACAAGGTGCCTCACATTAACAAGGAGAAAACATGAACATGACTGGGTTTGCAAAAAAAGCAAGGTGTTCGTTTTCTGGATTAACAGTAGGATAACAGGTTGATATGAATCAACCTTCATCTTTTTTCAAAATACTAAAAATCTTAATAATAATGTGTTTGGAACATTATAACCAATGACATGCAAGATCCTAGAAAGGGATCCCGAAGCCAAAAGCATTTTTGAAGGCTGTCTGCGCTGTTTCTGGAAACAGAAGTCTTTTTTCTTGCTGAACACCACTCACCTGGACGTGTAAGTGGTGCCTGTCATGAAGATTGAGGGCACCCCGTAAAGGAGAATGGGCTCATGGGGACCCTAAGCCTCTTGCACTCTGAGGACAGTTAATTGCAGTGCATTTGTTGACACCTACAAGGGTGACAACACTCATGCGTCTCCTTAAGTAATAGATGGTTTTTAAGATCAGGCACTATTTGTTTCTTGTATATTTTCCTGTCTTTGAAAAGACACTTTAAAAGGCAGAATGAGGGCCAAACAGTGTGCAGTGATTAAGTTGGTCACATACACACACGGGCCTTTTGCTCTACTTGCAGTGAAACACCAGTAATGCTAGAGCATTAAATAATACACTAAAGAAGAATATTGGGATATAAATGATCGGCTGAATGACCTGAGTAGTTTCATTCATTTTTATGCCACAGTTGCTCACTGCAGCTTCCATCATGAGTGGACCTCTGCCAAGGTATTGCCACAAAGCAGGTAGATCTAACATTTGGATAGGGAGTACTTTCTGTGAAAGTTGTTGTATGTTGTTATGTATGTTGTTATGTTATGTTATGTATGTTGTTTGGCCAATGTCTTGACAGTGGTTTCAGCATGTGGTCTGCAGACACTAGGGCGTGACACACCACTTATGGGGGATCTATTTGTAAGTTGTTACTAAGAAAGTTAATTGTCTGTAGGTTTAAATGAGCACAATGTGGGTTTGCATTCCCCAAAGGATTTTTTTAGGGGTTTACAAGTCAGAAGACACTGAAAGTCAAGGATCATGAAGCCAACCAAGCTACAGCTATCACATCCATGTCAAAAACTCTATAATGTTTTCCACGCTGGATTTAAGTTATTGAAGTGATTATGTGGTAAAATGCTAGATGAAATATCTATGCAGATAAACACAAAGTAGTCACGCCCTGGCACTGGCTCCCCTTTCAGCCCGGGTTTCTCTATGGGTTGCTTCCTTCTGATGCCCCAAGACCTCCCTTTGTTGCTTAACTGTTTTGAGCTGCTCTGTTGTCACTTTGCTGTGAGGTAGGAGGATACATAGTGCGCAGTCAGCAAGCACAGATGTTCTAGAGGAATTTGGTACCAGAAAAGCCAGACATTAAAACTGATGCCTGGTCCAGGATCCATCTAGAATAGATCAAGGCTATCTGTATAATGTGTAGAAAGAGTTAAACATTTCAAAATGATGTTCAGAAGAGCTGTTGAACACCCACTGTGTGCTGTCCAAGCAGCTGGAAGAGAAAAAAAACACAAATCCAAAGCAATGCTTCATCACACAGGGCAATGCCGAGAAGCCCCAAGTTGTGTGCCTGCCCTATCTCTGCAGAAGGGCCTTACACACCCCACTCTCACCAAACCTCACCTGAAAACTGCTCGTGAATGGTGAGGGAGAGATCAGGGCTACATCTGCTTCACGTTGCTCACTGTCGTTTTCTGCACATCAACACTGCTGCAGCATGAGGCTGCAACGACTCGGGCAGATGTGATTACCTCTCACCAGACAGGACACACATTGAAGGTTTGATCCCGTCAAAGTACACCAAAGCTGTCACCCGGGCTTACGGTAGTCGCTTGGGCAAGATCAGATCACAGCTTTATACCTGATATGCACGATGCTAGGCATCTGTTTTGTGGTCCACAACACTTTATGTAGCTCAGTTTTCCCATGCAATAATGGTTTTTAGTCTCACAAATGCCAGGGCACTGCAACAAGCTAATACAAGTGTCATAGGGCAGGAATGGGGCAATAGTCTCAGGCTCCCGTCTGAGTCCTGCAGTTTACTCCATGCACAGCAATAGCTGCATCCTGGCAATAGCTGCAAGCTTTGAAATTATATAGGCTGGTAGGAAACTACCACTGCAAGGGCAAATTCTTTGATGTGATAGGTTTGGTGTTGTAGTATAGGTTTTTTTTCTTGTTTTTAAGTGACTGTATACGTTAGAGTGCTAGAAGTGGCTTTGTGTATTGCTGTAAGGGTGCTCAGTTTCCTATGTTTAGCTGCACGATATGTACAAATAAGCGTATGGCAGAAACAATGGCCTTATATAGACCGTACCAGATGGCTCTCCCTCTTTACCAGGAGATGCCTGAAGCTGCACTACAAGCGTTCAAGACAGAGCTGGAGTCAAATCACTGAGGATAGGACAAAATTCAAGTTAGTATCAGAGCCCTTGGAGGGGCTTGCTCCTTTTTGCAGGTAAGCCTGTACCTATAATGATTGCGAATACTGTAGGTGGTCCCATTCCCTCTGCCTCGAAACTTCAGCAGCACTGTGGCTCTTAACACCTATAGTGCACTACACCTTGTTTATGTCATGACTTGATCTGTGGGTGGCTGTGACTCTTGGCTTTGGTTCATCTTGGACCTCATTGATATACAAGTGGGGAACACAGAAGGAAATTCCTGAAATTCCCTGGCTGCAAAATAATAGCAAAATGCATCCAAACAGCAGTTAAAATTTGCTAAGCATGCACAGATCCGAATAGAGGCTCTAACTTCCAAGAGCAGAGAACAAGCTCCAGCAACATCCACTGCAAACCGGAAGAGCAGTGTGATGTAGAAAGGCAAAAAACATACGACGAACACGCACAAATTCACAGAAATAATGTGGATTGCTTTCTGAATTAACTTTGTCTCATGAGGGCTCGTGGCCATCTTCTTTTTGAGACATTTGATGACTTGTACGGAGCAAAAAATCACAATCCCTGAGGGAATAAAATACCCAAAGATAACAGAGAATAACATTGAATAATTAGGTTGAACAGTTTCTTTCTGAAAGCACAATTTTTCCTTTCTGTCATCCAGGTTTCGACGCAAGTAGGAATAAACTATAAGCGTTAACCAAACAAACACACAGATAGAAGCTGATTTTAGTGGAGATCGAAGAATCTTTGCTTTTAAAGGGAACTTGATTGCAATGTATCGATCAATTGCAATCAGGGTGATGATAAGGATGCTCATAGGCATGTTTGTAAAATAGATGTTCTGGATGGTGATACACAGCTTGTCTACGGGATGGTCATACTTGTTAAAATATATCAGGAAAGGCAGGGCGAAGAGCAGGAAACTGTCCGCGACCATGAGGTTGATCATGTACACCCTGGTCTCGGTCCACCTCTTGAGTTTGCAGCAGAAGACCCAGAAGGCAGTCATGGTCAGGGGGATCCCCAAAGAGAGCACTGGGATGTAGACGATAAGTTGAAATAGCACAATGCCTTTCTGCAGTATGTCGTCGTCTTTGGTGCAGTTCTGCATATTGGGCCGTCTCTGCAAGAAAAGGGTGTAAGCATGAGACGGCGCTCGGCGACGGGTCCTCTGGGCTGGGTCCTGCTGTGGTGCCCCTGCTGTCATGGCTCTGTGGCTCCTCATGCCCCTGCACTGCATATGTAGGCAGCCCCTGGGGGGGGCTCGGTGGCTCATCAGCACTGTCTATCCCTCGGCCATCAAACTAACACTGTCACTCGCCACCAGCTAACACGGAAACACAGAGGCAAACCTCTTTGCAACGGGTACAGGGTTAAGCCTGCCTTGCCCTCCATCAAGTCCTGTTTTGCACGGTTTGGGTAACAGCAAAGGGTCTGCAAAGCAGAATGACAATTTCTGTGGTCCCTTATCTTTGCTGCTGCTGTGGTTATCAGAGAGCCACTGGCTTTAGGGCAGCCCAAAGCAGAGCTGGGCAGCATTCCCCCTCCACCCTCCAAAGTCCTTGCTTTGCTGCTGAAGCCACCCCATGGGTTTGCTCTGGGTCTTGCCAGCCTGTGAACCTCCACAGGACTTGAGCCCTTCCAGGTAGTTCAGGTGGCTTTACCCCTGGGGGCGATGGGAGTGCAGCTGCAGGCTGGTGGCTGGGTGCCTTCAGTGGGCAGGCTGCCTCCCAAGCACGAACCCGCTCCTCTCGCTGCTGGATGCTGGGGAGGAGTAGCTCAGCATGGGTGCCACCAGCCCCGGCAGATAACAGGTCTCCAAAGAGAGAAGGGAAAGTGAGAAGACATGTCTGATCTCAACCTTCAAAGACAGGAAGCCAAAATTTTGCTAGAGCAGAAAACACAAATCCAAGAACTTAGACTATCTCCTTTAAATATTTCAGGGTATCCGCTGCCAGCAAGGAGGCTGCGGAGAATGAATTAGAGTTAGTCTGCAGCTCATGAAGGAACTGTTTACAGTGAGGCAGGAAAGGCAAATGCCCAGATTCCTTCAATCTCTTATAAATACATTGCCTTATGAGTCAGTGGCTTCTAAGCATCAACATCCAAACTGTAGTGAAAGTGTCTGATTGCATGAACTAAGTGAACCGTTTTTAGTGTCCGAGACTGGGAGACGGATCTGGCAATCACAGAAGAAAGCGCGGCACCTGCCCTAGCACCACAACTGGTATGGCATTACTGAACCACACTCATTTTTAGGGTGGAATTTATGGAGGAACTAACATAAAGCTGGTGTCCTGGCTCTCTTGGTATTTCAGCCTCACAAGTCCTTGGCTGCACCATGGTACCACCTACCCTGCAGCTGTTCCCTGCCGGCCCACCGTGGTCACCCCGCAGTGAAAAAGCCACTTTCTGCATGCATAGCAGTGCCCCAAGGAGCAGCTGAGCCCTCTGAGCTAGGCTGGGCATCCCAGCCCCGTCGAATGCCCCATGTAAGCACAGAGCCGGTGGGAGTTCCCAAGGTCCCGTGCTGCAGTGTGCCTGGAGCCTAGTGTCTCCATGCTAGCAGAAAAGGCATGGTAAGAAGCACTGGTGTGAAACCGCAGCGAGGGATGAAGGGCCCCCTGAACGACACATGTGTCTGAAAAACAGTGAGGCATAACAGCTGTGAAAGCAGGAGGAGTCTGAGGCGTCTGTGTATGGCTGAGGACTGACCCGTAAGTTAACAACCAGGCATAGTTGCTTCAGTTAAGAGATGAGAAAGCACATCCTGAAGTACTGAGCAGAGAACACTGCCACACACGGGTGTGGGAAGAATTAAAAGCCATTACCTGTTTCTTGTGGGGCTGTCAGGTGGGTTTAGTCCTCAGAAAGGTTGCGGTGTAGACATGGGCGTCCTGGCAGGGGGGATCTGCTGGGGCCGCGGGTGCCAGTGCAGGGTGCTGCTCTGTGTGGGGCACGGCTGCCCGGGAGCCTGCTGTCAACAGCTCAGGAGCGCTGAAACGCTGCAATGAACTCTAGTTCTCCAAAAGTGGTTCATTTATCACCTAGTTTTTGGGACGTTGGAGTCTCTGGTGCCCTCTGTTGTTCTACTCACATCAGCTCAACGCTTCACCATCATTTTTTCCACCCAGTCTGTGTTCCCCCCACTCGCCTCACACAAATTAGCAATTAAAATTTAATCTTTTCAGTCGTGGGAAAGCAAACAATTTCTGAAATAAAACCCATAATGGCTGCAAATTGCGATTCTGGCAGCGAAAGGTCCCTAGGGAGCAGAGCAGCCCGTGCAGCCTCCGGTGCGGTTGCAGAGGGGGCAGGGGGCCCAGGCAGGGGGCCCAGGCAGGCAGCAGTACGGGGGCTGATGGCCTTTCCGAGGGGGGACATCAGTGCTCATGCACCCTGTCAGAGTGAGCCCAGGGCGAGGGGCCCCAGCGTGCTTCTTTTCAGTGTCTTTACAGGACAGGTAACAGACGTTATGCGCCTGCTTGTCCCCTGTGTATCAGCCAGTGTCTAACACCGCTCATCAGCATCACTGGAAAGCTCAAGCTGGTAATGACAGCCACTGCCAACCGGGCACAAGAGACACCGGTGTGGCAGTGGGCATGCCATAGGTGTCAGGACCTTTAGAAACACGTTTAAGAACATGCCCCAGTGGTATTTTGTAGTCATTTTGATGGCTTTTGCTGTCTGTTGGCTGCAGCAGTTGCAGTCCCAGCTGACGGGAGCCATCCTCTGACTCCCTCAGGATTTGTCCCATTAATTCATGTCCCCTCACCTCGCGGTCCCAGAGGTGACAACAGCAGATCGAACAGCAGCCATGGGCTCCCTGACGGCAGATATGGGTCACAGGGGAAGCTGCATAAGTGGGCAGGGAAGCCTCCTCCGCACTGTCTCCCGGAGTACTCTGAGCATTGCCTGGGTAGAGCTTGGCGGCCGTTTTTGAGATTTTTCAGCATTTAGAAAGAAAAAAGGCCTATCCTAGGGAGCATTTGAATAACATGTAGGGAGTCAACCCACCCCGCATCTCTCCTGACTTTTCTAGGCTGCTGACTCATGGACAAATGCATTTCCCCCATGGAAACGTTAGGGGTGTCAGTGTGGGCAGGCTGCGGAAACCTGGACCCAGCTGTGTCCAGCTGCGGGGTCATACTCTGACCCTGAGCTGCGGCCGGGAGGGTGAACCTGGGGGCCACCCTGGTGCCACTACATAAACCCAGGGAATAGCATTGCGCAGGTGGCAAAGGTCTAGAGAGCTAAAAGGGCTTCCCCACGGGTGGGAGCAGCAGCCCCTTGGGAATGGCGGCTCTAAGGAGGTGTCTCTGTGCCAGGGCTCAGCGGTGCAGCAGGAGGAGAGCCAGCAGGAGGACTCAGCTCTGAAATCTCCCAGTCTTTGTGCCTTCATGGCACTGGGCGAGTATTGCTTTCATCCTACAAGTGTTCCTTCCCATCTGTCTGACCCCTTGACTTGAAGGGGAAGGGCAGTCAGCAGCCATGTAGGGCCATGTACTTAGTGATGTGCTGGTACCGCCTGAACACACACACACACACGCACACCCCAGTCCGCCAAAGGAATATGATAAAAATAAATGGGATTGTTTTAATAACGCAAACAACCTGATATACGCAATGAGGTAAAACATGATATATTCTTTCATACTTGTTGGCAGTAAGGACCAATTGACTTTAGCTGCAAAATGAACTAAAACAGAGAGCCACACATGGGTCACCTGTCTTCCTGTAGCAGTAACAAGTAGGTGCTGGAGGGAGGAATGGGGACAATGTTAGTGACCAGCGATTACATACAAACTTTTACACATCTCTGTGAAATAACTTATTTGTTTAGTAGAAACAGAGTATAAATCACAATTAACTTGGTAATGCTAAACCTAACAATGAACTCCCTAGAGAGAAAGAGCGATAGTTATCCCAATAACGCTGAAGCTGTATCTTCTCTTGACGTTACAGAGTTGCTGTGGCGGTTTTGGGGTTTGGTGTGTTTTGTGTCCCCCCCTTTCCTTTAGCAAGTGTGTGTCTGCCAGGAGTGGGTTTGATCTGTTTTTTCAGTGCTGGGTTTGGGCAGTAGAAGGGCTTCATGGAACTCCTTGGTCACAAAGTAGTAGCAGACGCTGTCCAGGCAGCAGTTGGAAGTGGCAATGCACCTCGTTACAGAGGAGAAGTTCTTCATAACCTGGAGCAGGAAACAGGTAGCTCCAACTTTCTCCATTATGAACCTGGCAAGTACCCCAAGGTAGGCTGGCAGAAAACATATTAGAAATACGATCAGATTTGCATAAATAATGTGAACAGCTTTCTGGATTAATTTCTCCTCTGATGAATTTGTGTTCAACTGTTTCTTAAGGTTCCTGATTACTTCTGTGGAGCAAAATGTCAAGACTGCTAATGGAAGAGTAAAAACGAAAAAAATAGAAAGCAGGCTCAGAGTAGCGGGTGCGGTGGTATCCTTCTGAAAGCAGAGTGCGGCGTGTCTCTGCCAAAACTGTAAGGTGGCACCGATTATCACAGAGACCCACAGAAGCCCACAGAGAAGGGCAGCCTTCAATGGAGACCTGAAGGTCCTGGCTTTCAAGGGGTGCTTTATGGCAATGTATCGATCGATGGAGATAAATGAAATGATGTAGATGCTCACTACCATGTTGATAAAATACGTGGCCTCTATAAACTGGCAGAGTTCATCTCGGGTTGACTTATTCCAGAGCAAATAAGCCATGCAAGGCAAGGTGCAGATGACGAAGAAGTCTGCAAAGACTAAATTGATTACATACACTCTGGTTTCTGTCCACTTCTTTATCTTGCAGAAGAACACCCAGAGGGCAAGGGCATTAAATAGTGCTCCAAAAAAGAAAATGATGTTATACAGAGTAAATTCAATGAGACGAACATGGTGATATATTTCTAGATTTGTGACATTGCAGTTGTTGGACACATTCATTGTGCTGATGTGTAGATGTTGTGTGAAGTTCTGAGACCTGAAATGGGAAAAGACATAGTAAGACTTTCCTCCTACCTCTTCATAGATGGATGGCTCCTATAAAAAAGGGTATTTAAGTAAATTTAAGAAAATAACTCAAGGTACACTTCCAATAGGACATG